TTTGTTACCTGCGGTTATTGATTTTTTAAAAAGTCAATTTTTGAGCCAGAGTGCTCATCTTCGAACTCGATCTGTCTTTTTATGATACAAAACGACCCTGAAAATCCCGGGTCGCTATCTCAATTCTTTCTCGAGTTATCGTGCGGACAGACAGACAGACAGACAAACAGACAAACAGACAAACAAACAGAATGAAACTTTTCCAGTCAGTGGAGTTATGGGCTTCGCTAATCGCTCAGCCAACAAGATTTCGTGCCTTTCCAGGGGCATTAACCAAAATTCTGAGTTTTGTGCCCCTCAATAAAGAAGGCACTAAAGGGCCTCAAAGGTGCTAAAAGTTAGTGACTTTGGCAGTTTTAGTGCCTTTTAAAGGTATATATACCTTATAGGACAGCCCTTTTGTGTTTCCAGTGCGGCGTGGTGCCATCGCGCTCATGGCGTGTACCTCATTATGCTGCCGCTCTGGGTTCCCGCCGGCAGCTCTATCGTGGCGGGCCGTCTGCACTATCGAGTCCAGCCCAGCCGTAATGTGCGGCGTTAATCCCGAGCTAATAAAGAACGCCACTCGATCCCGGCCGCCGATCCCCGCGCTCGGCAGCCCCGCCGACGCGGCGAGGTCAAGCGGATGGCCGCGCCCACCCTCCTCCCATCCCCCCTCACCCTCTACCAACACAACCCGCCTCGCAGCGGAGCAGAGGGCTCGTTCAGTTACCATGTAATGCGTTTATGGCTTGCGTCCCACCTCGCACCTTGAGAGGCCCCTGTGGGAACCCCCGGGCCAGGCGCTCCGCACGCAGGAGAGACTGAAAGTGACGGCGGCGGGGGCGTTGGGGTGGGAGGAGGGAGGGAACGGGTTCTATTTTTATTACATTTCCCAGCCATTTATAAGTCTTTATAGCGATACACGTGTGCGACCTTTCACATTTTAATGAAACATGTCACATCTCTCGCTTCGCATCGACCCCCGGGATGCAGTGGGCGCGGGGCGCGTTGGCAGCCGCGAGTAGAGCCGTGTTTTGTTTGTTTCCCACTGCTCTGCGCTGCTGCATGCGACACGTTGTTGCTACGCCACAGGGAAAGGGGACGGGGGGTCGCTTATATACTGGGTGGAACAGCGATTATGAACACACGGGGCGCGGGGTGGGACACGCGTGGGCGACGGGGTCGGGGCTGTGGCAGGGACATCACAGGAGGTGACGGCTTCATCGCTGAGCGAAGCTCAGTCCAAGTCCAAGTCGATGAGGGGTCAGGCGATGTCTCCGTCGTGAGTCTGTCTGTCTGT